CCATTCACGTCGTTTCGGATAATTTTTTAATCCACAACTCATTAAGAAGCCATAAATTAGGCGAGAGAAAAGCGGAAATATTTCACAGCGTGTCACTTATTAAATTAGATATCCGATTCCCAATAAAAACGTCCGAAACTAGAACCGATAATGTGGCAACGATAACTGATTCATCAAATTCAGTGAACAAAAACTGAACTACCAATTGAGGGCACGACGAAAATATGGCTAATTGAAAGAAGAAAAGCAAACCTCAACAAAATTTGTATGTTTTGCATCACGAACGGTTACACAAGCATGAACCTCCTCAATCAATTTCTGCTTTTCATCGTTGTCGAAATTCATATACCACTTCGCAAGACGAGTCTTGCCTGCTCGATTCTGGATCAGAATAAATCGAATCATACTAAAACACAAAACAACAACTGAAATTTGAACAATTAAAATTTCTGACTGAAATTGAACAATGCAGTCGGCAACGATTACAGCGACAGTCAGGAATATTTTTCCTTCTACATTTGGAAACTGCAATCAAATCGAATTCAGTGAATTCTATTCGATGCTAATCAGTGAATCAGTGAATCAGTCTGGAAAAATAGCCGAGTTTCACGATCAATCAAATTTGGTTTCAAAAGGATATAAAGAATATTACGTATTGAGACCTATTAAAAAGATACAAGCCGCTCTTTTCAATCTGATGATAAGAACAGACATAATGAAATGATATTTATGAAATAAACAAAAACTTTAGAATCTAATCTATCGCAGACCTTTAAAACAATGAAATCATTTTCACTCATTTATTCAACAATTAAAAATCGAAGAAAAAATTTGGCTAAACGCCATTTCACTTCTAATGCAAACCGATAGTCGCTTTGAGGTGTATTTATTTGTATAAATCAATGTTGAAGTGCTTCCAGACAAGTTATCTTTTAAGAATGAATGGTTTCCGTTATGAACCTCAACCTGAGGCTACACCCAAATGTGTTTCACTACGACATCCCACTGTAACCATTGATGCTTGTTGATTGAGTTGAATGAACAACGATAACATGTATTAATAAATCAGTAATAACGATCAAAATTTGTCGATTTTATACTCACTTCTAGCCGATCTGTCAGCTTACATTGACTTTTCCCATCCATCTGCATAATTGCAACACAGATAAAAAATTTATACAACTTGTAATGGAGGCTTCATGACGTCGATGCACACAGTTAGATGAAGCATATCAATTCAAATTATTGCAATGAAAAAATAATTGTGTAAAATTAACAATTGAACGAGGGCATGCATTTGAAACAAATGAAACGAATGCGCAGCATCCATATAGTTTACCAAAACAGAAGATCTTCACTGGTCAGCTGATGTGTGAGAAATTCCCACACACTTTAACATTCCCACCTTCGGTCGGAATATGTGAGAAGTAAAAGCTGTTACTTCATTAACCGTTGGGAGTGCGAACATTCTGAATGGGAATGCGAACCTTTAGAACGTTGATTACTCATAATTTAGTAATGGTAATAGCAAGTTCCACTCCGGCTAAGCTCGTATTACTGGTTATTTTTTAAAATTTTAAAGTTTTTTAACAGCATGATCAGCTCCTGATGGGATTTCTAATCGTGGATTGGCCGATATTTTACCTAATAATTCTAGAATTTCATTAGTCGAGCATTTCAAATCGGCTGTCTTACCCTTTAAATCATATTTCCGGACTCTGTCCAACCTTCTAGTTATCAACAGTTCGAATGGATTGCTTTGTTTTTTGAATGGGACTCCACAATTTTAGTTGCTTTATGCGTTCGTATTCCGAAAGTAATATGCTCATGTTCTAAGCAATCGGATGTAATTGTTGCAGTGCTAACGGCTGAAAATGCGACGTATCTTCGGAGCATCCGGCAAGAAGGAGCCACCACCAAATCTAGGTGATGCAATATTGAATATTGATTCACGAGCTGAGACTATCGATAAGAAGATCGGCATGCTCGATGCGGATCTCGTCAAATACAAAGATCAAATGAAGAAAATGCGTGAGGGCCCAGGCAAAAATCAACTCAAACAAAAAGCTCTCAGGTTATATTTCTTCCAAGTTCATATTTCAATGACCCAGCCAAGATTATTCCAAGCCGAACATCTATAGCTGTGTTATTCCAATGTATGAAACCCAGAAGCCTTTCTCAAACCGCTTTTCCTTGTCATTATGAAGTGGCGGAGTCTTTTGAGTCTGGATCGAGGCGAAAAAATTGTTTGAGAAATTTTCGGATATCTTCTGAATCTGTCGCGTAATCAATTATCAACTGGGACTATCAACAATCCGTAATGAAATATTGACTTATCTGAGATGTATGATGTCGAATTTATAACTAATATCCATTCTATTCAGTCATTATATTGTTTTAATTTTTAATGATAATTTCGCATTGGATTTTTAATGTGAAATGAGAATTTAAAATTCAGAATTTTGAAACAGAAACGTATGCTCGAAAATCAAAGAGATCAATTGTCGCAACAGTCGTTTAATATGGAACAAAGTAATTTCGCTATTCAAGGAATGAAAGATACTCAGGCTAGTTTCATCGTATTCGGTCGGAAATTCAGTCGGAGGAATTTGCTGACTTCGACTGTGCTTCAAACATTTATGATGATCGATCAATCCATCCGAGAAACGATCCTTTCTGCAGTATTTTCAGCAGAAATTACTCAGTTCTAGAACATTTTTACTTCGCGTGCTCTCAGAAATCTTTTCGTTCTAACTGAAAGTCAATCACGTTTTTTAGACAACAGTTGCGGCTATGAAAGGCGGCTTGAGGACCATGCAAAGGGAATACAAAAATTTGGATATTGATAAGATCGAGAATCTTCAAGATGAAATGGAGGATATGCTGGATTTGAACAATGAAATACAGGAAGCGATGGCACGCTCGTATGCGACCCCTGACGTTAGTTCCATCTTTAGAATCATTTTATTATCATCAACGTTCAATGTTCGCAGTCAAAATTTTTATATTCCAACAGAAAATAGCTGGATTTCTACCACAAAAGTTGGCTAATCCCTCAAAATTCTGCGTTAATGTTGGTCAGACGAGAATTTCGGTTTGCTACTTTCCGATGGATTCCATCGTATACTTTGAAATGTTTGCATGTTCATGACTGATTATAAAGACATCTAGTTTAATCCCACCGTTGGAGAAACTTTTCATAATACGGGCTGGAGGGTTACCATTCATTGTTTTGTGAGGATATGCTTCACCTTAGATGCTCGCCTCGCCTCTAATATTCATTTCCTTTTTTTGATCTGAAAGTTATCTCTTCAGATCGATGAAGCTGATCTTGAAGCAGAACTAGAAGCGTTGGGTGATGAACTGGAATTGGACGCTGATAGTTCGTACTTGGATGAGGCGTTGAATGCTCCTGGTGTGCCATCCAGAGAGCCTGGAGCTGCCAGCGCGGTCAGTGAACCTGTTTTGTTTATTCGTGCTCATTGACGATTCTGATTTAAGTAATTCTTCTATGGAATCATTTGTGAATATTCAAAAAAAATGATGACTGCAGGTGGCAGAAGGCGGTGTTGCAGTGGATGAATTTGGACTTCCGA